CTATCAAGCAGTAAGAAAAAATCCGGTGTAAATGAAGACGACCTATTATCAGAACTGATGTCGGATACAATTCAAAACAAACCAGTGAGCCAAGGCTCCGCATGGGATACAGACTGGAATGACATGAAGGATAGTTTTGTACAAGACGACAATTGGACGCAAAGTTTCTTTCAACAAGAAACTAAAACCAATATGGAGAAGGTTTGGTTTGCGCATGTTATTTCTGTATAGTTTTGTGTGCTTGTCCGGTAGGTAGTATTTTTCTAGTTTTGTTTTACGGACTATTTTGCCCTTCCCCATTGTTGTTGCGCTTGAATCTTTCGACGTTTTCTCAAATCGTCCCCCGTTTGCCCACCTTTAGAAAATCATTTTGCGGAAACGAAATTTGCTTGCAAAAAATGCAGAAATAAAAAAAAAATGCAGAAGAAAATGCAGAAAGAAAAATGCAGAAACGTACTTCGTTTCCAAGATTTGATTTTTGTTGGGGAAACCACTGTTTTTTAATTCGCCCACCATCGAGAAACATGGCTAGTAAACAATGTTTCCCCATCATGTGTTTGCCATTTCGCCCAGGGCTTAGTTCACATGCTTTCTAGGCTGGAAGAATATAAGATGATGCAAAAGATAATGCGTTTCTTTCCTTGAAACGCTGTTCTTACTGTGACAGTGATTCCTATTTCCTATTTAGAGTACAACGAAATTTGGTAGTTCTCCAAAAACATCTAAAAAATCCACAAACCAAACAGAAGACGCTAAGAAAGGCAAGACAGCTGCTAAAACTCGCCCTAAACAAGGAAGACCGACTACAAACAAGACATCTCATTCATCAGATGGTTGGGGTGAAGACGATTGGGCGCCTCTAGAGGACTCGGCACAAGTAGCTACCAGTCTCAGCTCGGTTTCTCCGGCGGACATGGGGAACGCTGGGACAGCAGGTGATAGCTGGGACACTGAGGGATGGGATAATTTTGATAGTATTGAAGACAGTAAACAAAGTAATGCTGATATAGCGAGGAAAAAACGGGAAGAAAGAAAGAAACAGAGGCAACAAGCTTTAAAAGAGAAACGAGCTGCTAAAGGGGGATCCAAATTGGGGGCTGTCAAAAAAGATCAATTTTGAGGGTTTGAATAGATGGGGTTTCACTTCCTAGCAAAATAATTTTTAAATTTGAAATTCCATTCAGCATTTGTCAACAATACCATGCGCGCCGTTTCTTTTACAGTAAAGGTCTGTGTGTAGACCGAGTTACCCCGGCAGGACAAAAAAACACAAAAGTTTTAACGGAACAACAAAATTATTTTTGAAACAACTAAACGCAGACACCCAACTAGGGCGTTAACACAGCAGGCTTTATAAATATCGGGCAGGCAAGCTTTATATTTGCAGGCTACAATACGGTGAATGCGAATCGAGCTTTTTGCCGCGGGAATAAATATATTAGTATTTATATGATAAAATCAAGGTATAGAATTATGTAGAATTTATATTATCTATAATCGAAAGTTAATTTAAGAAAATGTTTTAATTGTGTAACAAATGTCTGTATTGTGAATTATTTGTGATTTTCGTAGTCATAGTTTGTTACGTTCTTATATACAACAGTACTTTGTGAATCAAGCGGGGAAGTAATCATTAATCAAGCCTGGTTTATATCAGTAAACTCTATATATAAAGACTGTTTCCACTATCAAAGTTTTTGTGATCACAGTAGGAATTTTGCATATGTAAATTCTAAGTTTTGAAGGATTGGTGAGAAATGTTTGAGGCAACTGA